AGCATTGCCTAAATATCATAAATGCTAAAGTTGATTTTTGTGGCGCCTTGTGCAAGAATCAGAAAAAAAAACATTGTGAGGAAGATTGTTAATATGTTGTTAGCCGTAGCAGTGCTCTATTTACATATAATTGCTGAACAAAATAATAAACAAATAAAATTGCCTAATGGCAAATTGAAAGTTGTCATAAGAAAATTAGACTTGTTATTTTTGGTTACGAAGCATTTACAAATACTATATTGTTTGCCTTCTTGCCATAATTTTCGAGTTGGAAAAAAAAAAATCCCCAAAAAATCTTGGTTCATTGTGCACCTGTCATGTAAATTTGAAATTGATTAGTACTAAATTTAAAACCGCACATTTCACTATAGGTTTAAACAGGTTCCCTAGCTAGTCATTCATACATAGATGAATTTAAATGACATTTGTACCTGCATATAACTACACCTCTAATCCACTCTTATTTGTTTTAATTTAATTATTTTTTATTTTATTTTTAATTTTCTGGTCTGGTTACCCCTTGTCAGTGGTTCAGGACGGAGGAGGGCCTGACAAAGACAGCTGTCTAGTCATATAGATGGTACGAAAAACAAACTTGTGTGTACACATTGGCATGCACGTAAAAGATCCCTTGGCAGTGGAATTTGATGTAAGAGTAGGCCTTAGCATCACTGTCCAGGCAAAATTTCCCTCATAGCACACTGTATGGCGTATGCCAGCCTTCCTTAGCCCAATCGGAGCAGAACAGTAGGACGTTAAACCCCATTTCATTTCATTTAATTGAATTACTTATGCTCAATGATATTTGCATAGATATGTTGCTTATTGATATTTTCTGTTGGTTGGAAATATAACATTTGAATCTCTTAATCTTATTTTTAAAAAAAAAGAATTTGAAGTTGCTGTTATCCTTGAACAATGTATGGGTCTTTTGGCATTGAATAATTATTTAAAAGGCATTATTATAAAATCTGATGGATTAGAAAGATGTTATATAAATCTTAATGTAGAAAGACGCCTTATTGTCTAGAAAGTTGGTTTAAATGTTGAACACAGACTCGCGGAACCGGAGTGATAATACCAACAATACTAATTATAGAAAAAGAAAGCAGAAGTATGTCTAACACTGCGGTCCCCCAGGGTTTCAAATTTCTTGACTTGTCTTTATTTGTATTGCGTAGCAGACTATAATTCTATAACAACTACTACCGTCTTTTAAAGGGATACGTGATAGTTGTGATATTTACTACAAGACATACAACCCCCTAGTTATAATCATTATTGTCCTGGTTAGATTTACTGAACATTGTGTAATCGCACCATCTAATAAAAATGATATTTACCTTATGTATTTTCCCCCTGGTTGTAGGTGACAAAGAGAGGGTCGCCTGTCCAACCTCATGGGTTTGCTCTGGGTTCTCCGGTTTCCTCCCACTGCTAAAGAAAATAAAATTGAACCATATGTTAGTCTCAAAATGACCTAGTTTGTGTTGGGTGTAGTTAAACCCCATTTCTCTCTCTCTCTCTCTCTCTCTCTCTCTCTCTCTCTCTCTCTCTAATATATTTTCTCTCATTGATTATAAGGTCAAATTCACACCTAACTCAAAGATACATTATGGGAGATAAGATAAAGAGCTGGCAGTTCTCACTATAATAGTTAAACACTAGATAATGTAAAGGGAATTTGCTGAAAATTTCAGTCAAATTGATCCACTCTAAACCAAGATTTTAGCGATTGAATTTTCGGCCTAGCCTCGATCATCATTACTAAAGTCGGTACGATAAAAAACATAGTCTCGATTATCCAGTTCATGATTAAATCATGAATCGAAGTTGAACAGCAAATAGGAACCCAATCCAATAAATGTCGAGAGTTGATTATGGTCTGGATAAGTTAATTAATGTCTAACTAATAATTTAGATAACATTTCAGACCTAAAGAAAGACCTGCGATAGACAGCTCTTAAATAATGCATGTTTAAATTTGTTTTATCTTTTAAGTTTCAAAAGTGGATTTTATGGCTTAAGTCAATAAGTCAAGCAGTAATGTAGCCTACTAAAGCATTAATATTTCATGAAATTAATATTTAGCCAATCTGAGGCAGGCATATAATATGTAACATAATATTAAATGCCTATCAAGAAATTCCACGAGAGTACATTTGATGCTTGATCAGACCAAAAGGGGATGGGGAGGGGAGGAAGAGTGGATGGACAAGTGGTCTAGATATGATACACTTTTAGATCATAAATCCTGTGGTTTCAATACCACTATTGTATGTAACAATCAGGGCCGCCTTCCAAACCTTGTGGGTATTCCCCAGGTTTCCTCCTACTTCTAAAGATTTGTGCATAGACGAATTATTGATAAAGATGATACAATTTAGATCCCAAATGAAATAGTTGTTTTGGCTGAATATTAAACTCTCTTTCTTTCTCTCCCCCCCCTCCCCCAAATGCCAAATGGCATACTCCCATTGTTATTGTTCATCTCATTGACACAATTCGTTAAGATATCAAAGTCCACGTATACTAATTTGTGTTTTTGTATCTATGGACTTTGAGTTTGATTACGCATCACTATATTTATTACTTCCAAAACAAATGAGAAGGTTAAGAATAACTTTTCTGAATTAGATCATTGATTTTCATCGTCAGAAATCTAGACATTATGGTGCCTTACATCAATGGATAAACTTGATAATATAGAGAAAATTGATTCCCCGAAACATTCTGTGAATATGTTTAGTTGTCCCTAAGTGTATTTATAGAAAAAGAAAATCTATTTTATTTTTTTTTTAAATTTCATTTTAACAATTCCATCTCTATAATGACAAGCAGGAATAAAATGCCAGATCTGGTGTTTCCCTCTAGGCCATGCAGCAATGCGTGGGAATCTGGAGTCTGTATTATTTTATTGGAATATAATACATGTATATGACTGTTTCATGTAAACAATTCATGGTGCTTGTAGAACCTGATACAATTTTGGCAACATGTGCCTGATATATTTATATTATAATATTGTGACTGGTTACAGGTGGATGATGTTATATCATGGCCTCTCACTGCCTCTCTCACCTTTATTATCACGATTGTGTTAGACACCATAATCACTTCTTGGCAGACAGGCTTTATTTATAGGCTGAATAAGGAGGCTGTTAAAAGCCAACACCATTATTTAAATGATGTTTATGGATGAGGAATTTGTTAAGAATTGCCCTCTTACCTTGATCCACTTGTCTTATCTGTTTTCTGTACTTGTGAATGGCTTTGTGATTTCTGTAACTATAGTTGTATGTGTTTGTAAATATGTGTATTTTGATCAATGGTCTCATAATTAAACTCTGGATGTGCCATTTGCATTTTTGCTAAAATATCAAATTTCTCACAGCTTAATTATCAGATTGATAAATTAACATTTAAAGAGGCATTATGGGAGATAAGGTAAGGAGTTGACTGTTCTCGCTATAATAGTTAAAAAATAGATAATATAAATAGAATATGTTGAAAATTTCAGTCTAATTGCTCCACTCTGAGATATTAGCTTTTAAATTTTAAGCCTAGCCTCGATCATTACTAAAGTCGGTACATAGTCTTGATTATCCATTTTTGGATTTAATCATCTATGAGCGTTGAGCAACAGATCGGATTCAAATCCAGTATAAAATCCGACACATAAGATGACATAGTTTATATAACATTTCAGGCCTAAAGAAAGACCTGCAATAGGCAGATTTACCTCTTGCATAATGTATGTTTAAAGATACATTATGGGAGATGAGATAAAGAGATGGCAGTTCTCGCTATAATAGTTAAAAACTAGATAGTGTAAAGGTAATTTGCTGAAAATTTCAGTCAAATTGATCCACTATGAGCCGAGAAAGAAGCGGGTGAAATTTTTGAATAGTCTCGGTCATCATTACTAAAATCATTAATATAAACAGCATAGTCTCGATTATCAACTTTTTTTGATTTAATTATCAATGGCCGTTAGCGGCATATAGGAATCTAATCCAGCCAACATCAAAGGCTAGCCTTGACATCGAGAGTTTATTATGGTGTGGATAAGTTATTAATGTCTAATTGATAATTTAGATAACATTTCAGGCCTAAAGAAAGACCTGCAATGGGCAGATTTAGCTCTTGCATAATGCATGTTTAATTGAAAGAACAAAATCAAAATATCAACATTAGATAATCTCCTGGCTTGGATTCAATCGGATTTAAACTAGGCCCATCGGGTTTCTTTGCTATAAACAATAAAAGATGGTAGTGTCTTGTTACTTTCAAGCAGCATAGATTGATGAAATTTTAATTTTAATTTAGTATTTGTAAATACTAAACCAAATTGAACCATTTCTGGATTGATTTATACTTTCACAATATTTTAGTTTGAAAGTGATTCCTATTGCTTAAAATGGCGCATCAGGACTGTAGATAAACTTGGATCTCATTAAGACAAGAAGTGTGTAATTGCTTGCTCTAAACTCTCATAGAACAACATTTGCATCAGTCACTAATCACTTGTACAAAAATATTTCGCAGTGTGTAGACTGAGGTCTGTTCTAGACAAAATACGAACAAGATCATAAAAATAAGCTGTAACAATGTTCACTGCCAACCTTGTTCTTTTAAAACTCAAGTTCAATGAAACCAATACCCAGGTATATGATATATTGCGTGACTTAATTCACCTCAATATTCGTATTACAATGAACCTATAGTTTTTCTACCCCACCCCATCAAGGAGTCTTAACAAACATTTATACAAAATAGGTTAGTGCTAATAAGATTTTCAATAATTGGGCAGAATATTTATTGCCTTGGTAGGATTGATAGAACCTCTTTAATTCATATAAAATATTTAAAATCTTCTTAACAAGTCCTATCTTTTCACCATAATTATCTGATGCAGTCAAGCCTGACATACATTGTGGGATAGATATAGAAACTTATGCTATACTTATATTTATATTTAAATCATTATATTTTTTCAGGGTGTTGGATAGGAGAAGAAGCATGTACAAATGTTAATTGTCTTTCTAAGACAGAACCTAAACCAATCCCACCATCCAACAGTTCTCAAGAATCTAAATTCTGCTGTTGTTCTAGTAATATGTGTAATGAGAACGTTACTGATGTCTATGTTCCTGGTCTTCATACTACTGCTATTCCAGGTAATATACATGTTCCTGAAGCAACGACCGTGAATTTTACAACATCAAGCCGTTGCTAGATTGGTCTGAAGGAATGTTATCCCCCTTTACCACAGACATGTGAACAATAGCGTTGTCCAATCAAAGGTTGTGACACAAACACACTCAAATCAAACATTGACATTGAACGAACCTTCAACTTTGAAACTCAGTTATCACAGGGATACATTTTAGCTGGAAAGCGCGAGACTTGGTATTTGTGATGATATTTTATTTCAAGGAATCTGAGAGGTCCCCAGCTGGGTCAGTAGCCAATAATGACGAAATATGCAGGGTATTACGTGAAGGGCTTGATAATATAAAAAAAAAAAAAACAATCTCCTTATGTATCACACATAAATGTTTTACTCCCAGTTACAGAAAGTAGCTCTATAAAAAAATTTGAATGAATCCAGAAATGTGACATAGGCTCATTTATCAAGTACACAATCCTGATAAATGTTGCTGACAATCATAAATGATATTGGATAATCATACATTTCTACAAAAAAACATGAGGAGATAAATGTAGTGCTTTGAAATGTGATGTTTAGCCCAGTAGTGGTCCTTTGACAAAATAAAAACACAACACCCGCCCCCGTATCAGATTTTTGGTAAGGACTGTCTGAGAACCAGAATATTGTGTTTTTATGGCCTTATTTTCAACTTTCATTGCTTGTGAATGGAATACAGAAGAATGAGCAACCCTATCCAAAAACAGCACCTGTCTTCAATATTAGAGTATCGATGTCTTCAAATGTTTGTCACCGAAGAACTTTTTTGATGAGAAAAGATATTAACATTGTTGGACTCAAATTATGAAATTTATGAATAATTAAGAATCAATTTCTACATTTATATCATAACAATTATTTTTGTTTTCTTTCTTCTTCAGTTTTTCCTGAATTTGACCAAAATTACAGAGAAAGAACTATCATAATATCCCTTGTGTCTGTCTGTTCAGTTGCCTTGGTTACAATTGTTGTTTATTTTCTGTATCGTGTGTTAGTAACATCCAAACGAGTCTCCATGGACTCGCTAAATATCATGGAAGCAGCCCCACCACCTAACATTACCTTAGAGGATTTGAAGTTATCATGTAATGTAAACCGTGGCCGTTATAGTGAAGTGTGGAAAGGATTGTTGAATGATCAAGAAGTTGCCGTTAAAATTTACCCGGCTAACTATAAACAACATTATTTAAATGAACGCAGCATTTATTCATTGCCTTTTATGGAGCATGAAAATCTGCTACAGTTTTATGGATCAGATGAGCGTTTGTCCCAAGAGGGCAATATGCAGTATATGCTTATATTTAACTACATTCCCATTGGCTCATTGAGCGGTTACCTGAAACACAACACTGTAGATTGGCCGACACTTTGTAAAATGTGTATATCTTTCACCAGAGGCTTGGCTCATTTACATAATGATATTACAAAAGGAGGTAAGTAGTGCAATCTATATAATAAATTTTACAAGTGTGTGGGGGTTAGGTGGCTGAGTGGTCTAACATGCACTCTTTTGATCATAAAGTCTATCATTGACTCAAGTGGTGTGGTTTCGATCCTACACTTGAATGTGGCAAAGAGTAGGGTCATCTGCGTAATTGTGTGGGTTTACTCAAGGTACTCTAGTTGTGTCCCTAAGTTATAGACCCCTACGCACAAACGATCTATTGAAATCAAATTGTACCATATGTTAGTCCCGAAATGATCTTTTTTGGAAAGTGAATTTTAAACCATGGCTGAATATAAGCCATTGTGTTGTGTGCAAGAGGCAGGCTACGATTATTCTTTCTGGATAGTAACTATAATAGATGTACCCGCCCCCATCCCCCATTTTCCAATTCAAGGGTATGGTAACAAGCGTTATCAACTCATTAATCACACCCATGCCATGCCTAATAGTAATTATTATCTACTACCTGTATGTTGAAATTGATATAACCCAAAGCAATTTATTTGAACAAAATAAGTTTGGACCAATGTTGAGTTTGCATTTACAGAACTGGAATTCATGTACATGTAAGCAGGCAAAATGGATTAGTCCGTTGGGTGGAGAAATAGATCTTGTAAATATCGATGATATCTATACTCTTCCCGAAAAGCTCTCAGATTTTAATCTTTCAAACATAGAAATGTTATTAAATGTTTTATGTAAATTTATTTTTTTCAGATAAAACAAAATCTGCAGTAGCTCATAGAGATTTTAATAGTCGTAATATACTAGTTTCTGCTGATATGTCTTGTATAGTGGCAGATCTGGGTTTTAGTATGTCTACAATGGGGTCTAAATTGATTAAAAACGGTCATGCTGAAAATGCGGAACAGAAGTCACTAACTGATGTGAGTATTTTTTTTAATCTTTTTTATCTGGTATTTAAATGTTAATTATTTCAAAGAGAAACTAAAATTTTAGCAGAAATATGTTTGTTCATCCTTTGATTTTTATAGGGGATCACATGACTAAGTGGGTAAGTCGTTGGCTCGCTAGCCTGGAGGTCGGGTGTTCGATCCCTGCATTGGCCGGGAAAGTTCATCCAGATTTTCCAGCGTGGTTTCCCTTGTCAGTGATGCAGGACGGAGGGCCTGACACGGAGAGCTGTCTAGTCGTTCGGATGGGACGAAAAACCGAGGTCCCGTGTACACATTGGCGTGCATGTAAAAGATCCCTTGGCAGTTGGAATTCGATATAAGAGTAGGCCATAGTACCGCTGCCCGGGCAAAATTTCCCTCATAGCACACCGTATGGCATATGCCCGTCTTCATTAGCCCAGTTTAGGAGCAGAACAGTAGGACGTTAAACCCCATTTCATTTCATTTGATTTTTATAAGATATAGTTTTTCCTTTGCATTTGTAAGACATACAGTAGTACTGGCACGATATATCGTTGAACCTTCTTAAAATTCGCATATTTCTGAATCGATGTATCATGATTTTTTTTTATGATTTGTTTGTCTCTTCAGTAAGTAACCTGTCACTCTTAATTATCCATGTCAGACATTATCCATAGGTATACAAACACTCTTAAATTGTTTTGGTCCTTATTTTGATGCACATCAATATCGTTGACTGAGAAATTTCTTCGGCAAGGAACAGGTCTAGTCATTTGGATAGTACAAAAACTGAGGTCCCATGGCAGATGGAATTTGATGAGCCCCTGCATGGCATATGGTCGTTTTTATTAGTCCAGTTGGGGCCAAAAAGGAGGATGTTAACTCATTTAATTTTGAAAAATACTGAATATGAATAAATAAAGTATCTATCTATTTGTGAAATTAGAAGGTAAACCAGGTTGTCTCTTAAAAGGTTTGACATGTGGGAATTTATTTTGGTGTATTCTGTTGATAACCACACAATCAGAGAGTAATTAAAGGACTATTGAATTGACAGATACAATAAAAATAAAAGCCATCAAAGGCTGAGATGTGATTACTCTCCAAAGATTCTAATCTGGAAAATCAATGACTTTTATTGCTTTTCTTGGGCAGTATTAATTATTTTTTTGCATTATCTTCTATGACAGCTCAGTTTTTAAAGATGTCTATTCTTCTTAAATTACAAATATGAAATGAATATTATTTTAGGTTGGAACATTAAGATATATGGCTCCTGAATTATTAGATGGTGCTGTGAATCTACGAGATTGTGAAGCCTCATTAAAACAGATTGATATATATTCTTTAGGTCTTGTTTTATGGGAGGTAGCCACTCGATGTTCAGATCTTTATCAAGGTAAAGTACCATTACTATGTCTGATGCCCTGATTATATGATCATTATCCAACTACCAGGGGAAACGTTTTTAGTTGATCAATACAGAGGAAACAAAGGAAGTTCATTTATCATTCTAGTTGTGTGTAGTCCTTCGAATGAGATGGAAAACCAAGGTCTTGTGTACACGTTGCTGTGCACGTTTAAGTTAACCCTTGACAGTTGGAATTCGAAAGAGTAGGCTGTAGCGCCGCTGTCTGGGAAAATGTTCCCTTATAGCACGCCTGTCTGCAGAAAAGTAGGATGATAACATCATTTCACTTCTTTTTGTTCTAGTCGTCAACAAGTCTTTTTGACCTAAAACTATGAATACTGTGTGGAATCATTAAATGGGAGGTAACTCTATTTGAAATAATAACAAATAATGTTGTGACAGTCCAAATGTTAATACTTTACAAAAATAACAGTTTGATTTTCCTTCAAGTTGTGTATTATTTTGATATTTAGGTGCTCCTGTTCCAGAATATATGTTACCATACCAGGCTGAAGCTGGTAGCCATCCAACCTTTGAACAACTTCAACTTCTAGTCTGTAGGAACAAAGTTAGACCAAAATTCTCAGAAATCTGGAAAGATACTAATCAGGTACATGTCTGGTTTGATATAATTTAATAAAGAAAAGTAGATTTATATGTCTTCAGTTTAAATTATGAGTGGCTATCTGAATTATTTATGAGTGTGTGATTTATTTATTTACTGGTAGATATCACATTTATTCACTAGTGTATAATTCACTTACTGGAAGATATAACATGTATGTACTGGTATGTGTAATATTTACTTACTAGTAGATATAAGATTTATATACTAGTAGATATAAGATTTATATACTAGTAGATATAAGATTTTTTTAGTAGTAGATATAAGATTTATTTACTGGTAGATATAAGATTTATTTACTAGTAGATATAAGATTTATTTACTGGTAGATTTATTCACCAGTAGATATAATATTTATGTACTGGTAGATTTATTTGCTAGTAGATATAAGATTTATTTACTGGTAGATTTATTTGCTAGTAGATATTTATTTACTGGTAGGTGTAAGATTTATTTACTAGTAGATATAAGATTTTTTTATTGGTGTATATTATTAAGTATATGATTACTGGTAGATATTGGTATATATGTATATTATAAAGTATATGATAATATATTATAGGCTGTGAGATCATTACGTGAAACTATGGATGATTGTTGGGATGCTGATGCTGATGCCAGATTAACTGTGTTATGTGTGGAAGAGAGATTATCTGATATGATTATGATGTGGGCACAGGACTCAAAACATAGGGGTTTGTGTTTCTAATGAATTTAGATCAATTCTTTTCACCAATTTTTATGCGCCCATATTTTCATGTGGATGTATATTGTTATTGCTCCTGTCCGTTCATATTTTGTTTGTGGACACTCTACGGTCACAATTTTTATCCGATTTTGATGAAACTTGAAATAATAGATTTATATCCCAAAGATCTCGGTTCCTTTCGATATTGGCATTTATCGGACCTTAACTTTATGGATGAAACTCAAATGAATGTTTATAGCCCAAAGATCTCAGTTCCTTTTGATATTTTTTAGCTTGTGGAACCCTCTAGATGTTACAATTTTTATCTGATTTTAAAAAAAAGGTTCAATTATATCACCCTCATGACAGTTGAGTTCAAATTTCATGAAAATCAGATCATAACTGGCTGCTCCCTGTACCCAAATAGGGTAAGAGTATGTAATACAAAGGTTGTGGACCCTCTAGAGGCCACAATTTTTCTCTGATTTTTATGAAACTTAATATATATGTTTATGTCACAAAGTTCTTGTCTTGGTATCTTTTAATATTGCCGCATGTGGGATTGTAACATCCTGGATTATGGCCCCTTATTGTTCTCTGTCCATCTCTTGCAAAATGTGGGTATATCTTGCATGGCATCTGCTTGGATTTTTTCAAACACAATTCTATGGATCTGTTTTGGAATTGAGATACAGAAAAATAATAATTATAGTGCCTTTATATATTTGATCATTTTATACATATCCCTGAAAACCATGGTCGTGCTCTTACATTACAGTCATGAATTTCCTGACTGGCTGGAAATTGTGGATCTGCTGTAGCTCTTATTTATTTATGCTAGATAAAGATAACAATACAGTCTTTTACTTTAGCTAGCTGCCCTTTTGCACTAAATCCAGAAACTTTCCATTTGAATAACAAAGTGTGCTTGCATTGGTGAACAATCAGCATACACAACCTTGTACCTGACACCCAAGTCTGAAAATGATGATATTATTTGTACCTGACAAAATCTCAGGCAATACCTGGCATTTTAAATTCTGTGCAGGACATGTATTCAAATTAACATTAAGAGTTAAGACACTGAGAAGAAAATCTGTGCCAGACAAAATGGAATTGTGCTGACAGAGCCTTAATTTGTGCCTGACAATGTCTGTTACAGGTGCCTTATTTCCAGGCTTGGTCAATGACACCCATCATTACTTATAACAAAATTGAATCTGGACTTCAGAGGCTGAAGGAAGCTACTGGGTTTAATAAATTACTATGGGATTGTAGTCTGCTGTTCTCTGTGTTTTAAATGAATAGCTTGTCCAGATTTTTCACATTGATATTTTTGTTTAAACTATATTTTTTATTTAAAACTATATTTTTTATTTAAACTATATTTTT